ATTTATTGTAGAGATGAGGTCTCGTCAAGTTGCCCAGGCTATTCTCGAACCCGTGGGTTGAGGCAATCCCCTCACATCAGCCTCCCAAAGTGCTGCGATTACAGGCTTGAGCCACCAAGCCCGGCCGACTCATTATTTCTAAGATGACAATTCTTCCCAACTTGAGCTAAGGTTTGAATACAGTCTCAATGAAAATACTAGCAATCTATTTTGTGAATCTTGACAAACTAATTCTAAAGTGTATGTGGAAAGGCAACAAATCCAGAATAGCTAACACAATATTGCAGAAGAAAGACAATGTTGGAAAACTGACATTCCCAACTTCAAGATTCACTATAAAGTTACAGTGATCAAGACAGCATGATACTGGTGAAAGAATAAACACATAAATCAATGGAACAAAATAGAGAACCATAAACAGACTCACACCAATAGTCTTTCCAACAAATGGTGCTAGAATGATTGGTCTTCCACAGCAAAAAAAAAAAAAGAATCTAGACATAGGCTTTACACCTTTCACAAAATGAATCATAGACCTAATGCAAAATACAAAACTATAAAATTTCTAGATAACATAAGAGAAAATCTAGGTGACCTTGGGTCTAAGGATAAAGTTTTAGATGCGATGCAAAGTATAATCCATGAAAAAAGAATAAGTTAGACTTTATCAAAATGTAAAACATCTGTTTTGCAAAATATACTGTTAAGAGAATGAAAAGAAAGCTATACCCTGGCAGAAAATATTTGCAAAACACTGTAGTTTCCATTTCCACAGGGTACAGGTTAACAATTCTGATGTGACTATACATGTGTACTGCAATTAAACAATGAAGTGGGTGGTGGCAGATGGCTCCCGGGAGTCTCAATGTTGGTGGGAATTAACATACCAGCAAGGGAAAGAGGCTAGAATGGTCCATGTGGTAATGGATCAGGCTAGGACACATCCTAAGGGCTCAGATGTAATAGATACATGCGTGCACAAGAGCTACTATATGTGCATATGTCTCCTTACTTCGGAGTGGTGACACCCAGAAGCAATAAGCACTCCCAGCACACAGATGGTGGTTTCTATTCTGCTGTCCAATAAAAGGAACTGGGCTTCTTTGAGAATGGCTGATTGTAGGTCTAGGTCAGGAAACATACTGGGGGTGGGCCCCCAAAACTAGAATTTATTTATTAAAGATTGTGTATTTATTATCACAGATTTAAACTTCAGTCACCTTCAAAGTACTCTTCGTTTGATGCAATATACCTGTCAAGATGCTTTATTCACTGCTCAAAACAGTTTTTGAATTCATCAATTTGATGTATCTTTTAGTGCCTCTGCCATTTTTTGTTTCACCTCTTCCACATTGGCAAAATGTTTCCCTTTGAGAATATTTTCATCCAGGGGCAAGATCACGTGAATGAGAGTGGGTGGGGCACAGGGATCATGCTGCTTTTGGTCAAGAACTGCTTTCACACTCTGCACCAAGTGGGCAGGTGCCCTTGTAAATCACTCATCATGAAATGGGCAAATGCATTGAAAGAATTGCCAAATAATAATAATAATAAATTTAAAAAATGCACTGAAACCAAAGGCAGTCTCTCACAACAATGCTAGCTGGTTCACTGATGTCAGCAGGTTCTTAGAACTCTTACTGAGCTGGGGAAGTCTGTACTACAAGGGGCTTATCCTCCAAATGATAATTCCAGGTTTTTGGTGGTCCCTCCTCATACAAATAAGCCTGAAGCATCTCGTAGAAACAGAAAGTAAGGACTTTTAAAAACTAGCCCAAAACAAAAAACCCACAACGATGGGGTATGTCAAAGGGGCACAGGAGCAACTGAAAGAACTCCCAAAGATCAAACCTGGAATCACTTGGGCAAGAAGACAAACAAAATAACCGAATTATAACCTAGAGAACAAAATAAATACCCACAAGTCTAGACTAACACTAATAAGTGATTGAATAAATTAATAAATGGAGGAGAAGAGACAAATCTCTTATGCAGAAGAATTCCAGATAAACTATGTAGATATACCACCCTATAGGATGGGAGTGTACCACCCTTCCTGAAGTGTGGGCCATGCCCAGAAACATCCAGAGGGTGGTGAGGAGGGACAGTATAGTGGACAGGCTTGACCAACAACTCCAGCTGATTGAACAAGGTTCCCATGCATGATATGCTGACAGTACGGACCCCAATATCATTTGAAGAATGATAGATCACTTTACCTCTGTGATTTTTCTTCTAGAAACTCAAGTCCCCAGTCTAACTATGAGAAAACATCAGTAGATGCTTCTCACGTAGTAATAGATCAGGGAAACTTACAGCACACATAGCTAGTATTTTTTATAACTGTCAAGGTCATTAAAAGCAAGAAAAGCTAAGAAATTGTCATGACCAAGAGGAGCTGAGGGATGTGAGGCTAAATGTGTCATAAGATCCTGGATGGGGTCCCAGGAGAGAGAAAGGACAAGTAAAATTAAGGCGATCTGTGGCTCAGCCTGTAATCGCAGCACTTTGAGAGGCTGAGGCGAGTGGAGTGCCTTAGCCTGTGGGTTTGAGACCAGTCTGAGCAAGTTGGGGAGACCTCGTCTCTACAATAAATAAAAAATTAGCTGGGTTTGGTAGCGCATGCCTGTAGTTCCGGCTACTTGGAAGGCTGAGACGGAAGGATCGCCAGAGCCTAGCCAGTCAACACTGGGGTGGCTGTGAGTGTGCCACTATACTCCAGCCTGGGCAATGGAGTGAGACTCCAACTCAAAAAACAAAACAAAACACACAAACAAAAACTAAGGTGATCCGAATGAAGAATGGCCATTAGTAACAGTGCATCTGCGTTGGTTCATTAATTGCAGATGATGGGTCTCTCTGACTAGGACGGTAACAAGAGGGGAAGCTTGCCTGCGTGGGAGCGGTGGGCACACACACCCTGGGCTATCTGCTCAGTTCCTTTTTCTGTAAAGCTACAACTGTTCTAAAAAAAGTCATAAAAAATGCAAAATGGAAAATGTACATGAAATGTCCCGTAGAGGCACATCTGTAGAAACAGAAAGTAGACAAGTGGCAATCTGAGGCTGGTTGGTAGGCAGGGGAGTGACAGCTGATGGGTGTGGGCTTCTTTGTGGTGTGATGAGACTGTCCCAACCATGGCTGGCGATGGCTGCACAACTCTGAGAATGTACTACAAACCACCAATTGTGTGCAATGGGGCAGAAGCCAAACCTGGGGTTTGAGGCATGGCTTGTGGGACCCGGGCCTGATGTGGAAGGAGGGACTGAGAGGGAAGCTTCCTTTTTAACTAAAGCCAGAACAAGCAGATTGGTTAAGTGCAGGGAGATGGCTGGTGGGGCAGGGAGCAGGGCTGTCCATGCCCTAAAGAGGCTACCCAAGTGTGCAGGGGGAGTGGGGAGGGACTGGGGGAGGGATGGGCATAGTTCATAATGGCGCCTTGGTGGGAGAGAGGGAAGGAAGGAGAAGGGGAGGAGAAGGAGGAGGGGGCTGGGGTAGGTCTGTCCTGTGTGTAGTGTTTCTGGATGGTGTGTGTGTGGTGAATGGTGTGTTTGTGTCGTGTGTCGTGTATGTCTTTGTGGTGTCATTGGGTGTCTGTGGTATGCATGGCAGGATGGGTGGGTGGGGGAGAGAAGGATGCGTTGGCGACCGGCAGAAAGTCAGGCCTCCCAGTGCTCCTGGAGCTTTTCCTCGTGTGTGACCTCCTAGAGAAGGTGATAGTGATGAACAGCTCGAGTCATCCCCATGACCTTACCGTGGGCTTGGCCACGGCTTCTCTCTCCAAGGTGCTGAGCCAGTGCCCATGAGACCTTCTGCCTCAGGTCCCGTTCCCTCTGGTCCACTCACCCCTGTGGGCCTTGCTCACCTCACTGCCCTTTGATACCCCAGCCCATTCCCCAGCTCTGCCTGACCACTTTTTGGCCCCTCCCCATGCTCCAGCCCCCACTTTACAGCCCTGCTGGCTGCCAGCTTTCTATTCCTTCCAGCCTGCAGGTCCTGCTGCTCCTCGAGTGTGGGTAGCCTTGGGTCCTTTCTGCTCAGGACACCCTGGGAGTGACTGGATGACAGACTCGTCTCTCTCACATGGGATTGGCCTGTGGTGGGTGCACTCTGGTGGGGGCTGAGCCACCCCTCCTGGAGGGTTTTATCACAGGATCCCACTGGTTCCACAGCTGTCAGACCTCAGGGCCCCCAGCTGCCTGTCCAGACTGCCTTTTTTGCCTTCCTCCAGACACTAGGTAAGGACAGCTACCTCTGCCATGTTCCATGGGCTTGCAACCGGCTAGAGTCAGAAAGTGTTTGCAGATAGAACTGCAGGAAAGGTGGGAAGCAACCTGTCACTTTGGACGTCCTCCTTCTCCGAGGCCCAGTGGGCACCGTGTGGGTGGCTCTCCCTGCCCCAAGCCCAGAGTCTTACTCCCACTGCCCATTCATTACTGATCCCAGCTCCGCTGGGCTGGGGACTCAGTGGGGGACCCCTGTCTGGAGGTCACCCTCCACACTTTTCCCCAGTGCAGCACACCTGAACCCGTCTAGCCCTGTTCTTTTCTCATGGATGGAGAAAGCAGACTCCAGCAGATCAACCAGAGCAGAACCCCCAGGGAGTTAGTCTGCCAAGCATAGGACACTGTTCCACTGGTTCATTTATGATTCATGCCAGTCCTTCTAAGATAGCTGGAGGCCACTTCTAAGAAGTATGGGCCCTGGCTGCATTTGCAGGAGCCTCACTCCACCCTGGCCAGTGGGTGGGTCAGGCGTGTAGGGCAATGGACAGGGACACCCCACTCCCTGGCGCCACCTCCATCCCTGGACTTGTCCAGGTGAGCACAATACCACCTGCCACTGCCATCTTTGTATAGGTAGAGAGACAGGCAGAGGGAACCTGAACCGAATGGCCAGAGTATGCTCAATTCTGAGCACACATCGCAGCCATCATGTGTGTTCAGGGACAAAGGCCAGGGACAGGAGGATCAGCCCAGGCCGGATGGCACATGAGGTACCTGGCCTCGGCGTGTCTCACAGTTGTGGAGGTAGCTCAAGTGGTAGATCTTCAGGTCTAATGTGGCAAAATTCAGGTACTTCAAGAAAATCTGAAACAGAAATCGTAGAACAGGAGTTAAAATTTCAGTTTTCAGATGTGTGCCCAGGTGTCCGTTTGCAGAAGAGACACACGCTCACCCTGAGGTTGCCCTGAGGAAGCCACGCTCAGTGCACATGAACGTGGACTTAAACACACAAGCTCACATCACACATGTACACATACATGCAGGCAAGCACCTGGAGCCAAGCTGAGGAGATATGGCAACATGTGGGCAAGCAGACACAGAGGTGGCACACACAAGCAGGCATTCAGATGGGCAGACATGCAGCAGACCCACAGGAGACACGCGAGCAGACATGCAGGCAGGCGGACACAAAGGTGGAACACACGGGTGGACACATGAGCATACACAGAGGTGGAACACACAGAAAGACATGTGGGCAGACACATGGGAAGACAGGCAGGCGGATACAAAGGTGGAACACACGGGCAGACACAGAAGCAGAACACAGAGACAGACACATGAGCAGACACGTAGACAGTCAGGCACAGAGGTGGAGCACCTGGGTAGACACGAGGGCAGACACAGAATCAGAACATGTGGACAGACATGTGGGCAGACACAGGCAGGCACAGAGGTGGAATACATGGGCAGACACGTGGGCAGACAGAGGTGGAACATGCAGACACATGGGCAATACACAGAGGCAGAACGCATGGATGCCTCATGTCTGACACTCACGTCTTCATCTTCACTGGTGAAGCACGGGCCGTCAAGCTTGTTCACTGCCATAATCACAGCCACCACGTCTTTGCCATTCATAATGGGCATGGCCAAGATGTTCTTTGTCACATAGTCGGTGAGCTCGTCAGCGAAGGAGCTGAAGTGTTCACACTGTTGCGAGAGAGGAGAGAGGCTGTTGCACTGTGGACTCAGAACCCCGGCACCCGCTGGAGTCACTGCTGAGGGTCATGTGGTGTGGGTCAACGTGATGCCACCTGAGGGTTGCACGTTGTAGGTCCCGGTGGTGCCATTTGAAGAACACATGGTGGAGGTAGAGGCCATTGCTCATGTCAGAGAGATGCCTGGTGGCCCCTCCTTGGGCATTGGGACAGGGTCACTGGTGGTGAAAACTTGGCTGTCCCTGGGGCTTCCTACACATCTAGGCTGAGGTGCCCCTCACCTCAGCCTCAGTCCGGCTGACCTGAGAGGCCTCGCCCACACTCCAGCTGGGTTGACCTTCGGGTTGCCTCTTGATCCTGCCCTGCCCACCCTATCCCCAAAGCCTCCTAGTTGTGCCCACCAGTTCCTGCCCTCAGCCTCCTCCAGGCCAGCCCCCTCCAAGTCATCTCCCTCCAGGCCAGCTCCCTCTGGGCTAGCCCTCTCCAGGTCAGCCCCCACACTCTTCCCTAACTGTTGGTCCAGTGCAGGATGAGCCCATTCTGATCTGATCCTTGCTCATGGGACACTTTAGCCAGCACAGATGCAGTTGGCACATTGGAGTGGAGGGTCCCTGGGATCTTCCTGCCAGCTCCTGGGTCTCCTGGGCCATGCTCCCAGGGCTCTGCTCTGTGAGCTTGCTGCCCACATGAGACTTGTTCTCCAGGATGAGAATCTTGCCTGCCTCTGGTCCTCAGGGATCTCCCTCAAGTTCTAGAACCGCTCCTCCTCTCCTGGGCCTTGAGTTCTGCCCCCGTGAGAAACAGACAAGCCAAGCTTCACATCTGCCCAGAAGTGAAGGGTTAATAGGACATGGCATCCCCAGATGACCAGGTTCCTGTCCTTCATGGAGTCGGAGCAACCCTGGCCTTGTCCTCTACTTCCTGGCTCTGGCACTTATTGAGATGAGGCAAGTGCATCCTGGTGCTGTGACCGAGGTGGATGGCTCTGGGCTCAGATCCGCTGGGCTGGAGTCAGGTCTTCCCACCTGTGGGGCCTCCAGAGAGCATGGAATGGTCCCAGGTCTCTCCCCTCACCAGCCACTGTTAAAGGACCCCTTTCTGGCACACTTGGGATGTAGATCCCGTGGCAGAGGGCTGACTTCTCCACAATTTCCCTCACACTGGCTTTTGTCCCCCTCGCAGTCAGGGAGTGTTGGCCAGTGGAGGTCAGAGGAAGCCCGCTGGAGCCCATGTTCTCAAAGGGGTGCATGTGGCAGGGGCCAGCACTTCCTAACTCTTGGAGATGCAGCTGCCACCCGCAGCCACTCATGCTGGCATTGAAGGAAAGTCAATGAATTATGGTGGGGCAGGTAGTTGGTGGGCAGGTCCAGCAGGGGCACAGTACTGACCGCAGCGCCCATATCCTGTTCCTGGGGACACAGTCACTGCTTCTGCTTGTTGGAGCTGAGACTGACAGATGTTCCCCATGGGAGGGAAGTGTCCCAGTACCCTTGTCCCTGAGTCCAGCACATCAGGGACGAGGGTACTGGGACACTTCCCTCCCATGCTTGTTACAGTGCCCATTGTACATGTGAGGTCTGGATAGTCCATCTTCCCTACCAGCTGTTGGTGCGTGTAGGCCAGGAACTGATCTGTGTGTGTCCCTGTCAGATTCCAGTTTCCTTCCTTTTGTCACTTCCTTCCCTCTCCACCTGGAGCCCATCACATCAACCCAGTCCCTGCCAACTGAATGACTCCCTCACCTGGGGTCTTTCCATGGTGGATGGGATTCACAGCACACCTGGACGTGTGCCAGCGTTCCTGGAAAGAGCACACTATGACCCTGAGATGGTGCCATCCAGCTCCATACCATGTGATACTCAGATGACGCCACACAGACCACACCATGTGTTCTTCAAATGACACTACCTGGACCTACAATGTGTGACCCTCAGATGGCATCACATTGATCCACACCACATGACCCTCAGATGGTGCCACCCGGATCACATCATGTGACCCTCAGATGGTGCCACCTGGCCCCACACTGTGTTATTCTCAAATGGCACCACACAGAGCCATATCACCTGACCCTCAAATGGCACCACACAAACCCACATCATGTGATCTTCAGATGGCACCACATGAGCCCGCTTCACATGATCCTCAGATGGTACCACCTGGCCCCACATCACATGAAGCTCAGTGCCACATGGACCTACATTGCATGACCCTCAGATGGCACCACCTAGACCCACACAATGTGACCCTCAGATGGTACCACCTGAATCCACACCATATGACCCTCAGATGGCACCATACAGACCTACACCACATGACCCTCAGATGGCACCATACAGATCCACACCATGTGACCCTCGAATGGCACTCCCAGACTCCCACCATGTGACCCTCAGATCGTACCACTAGACCCACACCATGTGAGTATCAGATGGTGCCACCTAGACCTATACCATATGACCCTCAGATGGTACCACCTGGACCCACGCCATGTGAACCTCAGTTGGCACCATACAGATCCACCCCAGGTGACCCTCAGATGGTGCCATATACCAGGTGGCACCACACAGACTCACTACATGACTTTGAGTTGGTGCTACATGGATCCACATGGGACCCTCAGACCCTCAGGTCTTCACTCCACGGCCTTGTGACTGCGATTCTTGGGACCCTCGTAGGCACACAGGCCATAGTTGGTGAGCATCCAGTCTCACTTCTGTTGCCAGCATTGTCTGAGCCAGTTTCTTCCCTGATCTCAGACCTCTCCCTGTCACTTCTCTCCACCCAATGTACCTTCACAGCTCTTGGTCACAAAGAAAATATCAAAAGAGCCACAGGGCCACCCCACCTCCCTCTGGTGATCCACTCTTCACCCACAAGCCTCATCCCACTCATTGCCTTCTCTTACACACGGCCCTCTCCCTCCTGGATTCAGAAACTCAGGACTCTTTAAAGTGCGAAGTGCTCTCATGGCCCATTCTTCTGCCATCCCCTCTCCCTCATTGTCCCCCACTGCTCCTGGGGTCCCTGGCTTCTTGGCTGTGCCACTAGATCACCTCAGTGGCCCTGTGGTTCCATCTCAGCTCTCACAGCTGAGGTTGGTTGCAGTGACCATCTTGATACCATCACCGGAGACCCAAAGGGGATTCACATGCTCCCTGGTCCCTCTATGCCCATGCCAGTTACTCCCTTGGTCCCAGCACTGAGGTCTTCACTCCACGGCCTTGTGACTGCGATTCTTGGTATCTCATCGACCCCTACATCTTCGGGAGCTAGGTTCACAGGGCTGTGGAGGCCCAGAGCAGGCAGCAGGGTCCGGATGTGGCAACCCTGGCCAGAAGCTGTGCTCCCCTGACCTGCTGGTTTGAGTGGGGTCAGCCTCATTCCTTCCTGACCCCATCAAGCCTCTGAAAGCAGCACACCCAACCCAGCCACTCCCCAGAAAGATGTGCTTCAAATCCTAGCTCCCCCTGCCCTCTCGCCTCCCTGGAGATCCCTGGGAATGTCTACGCTTTTATAAATCTTCCATGGATTCTGCAAGGGGTCCTGTGTGAAAACATCTTGCCTAACCTTAAGCAACACATTCAGCCTCCTTTCATCCTCTCATTGCCAAATTCCCCCTTTTCCACAACCTCTGGCCACCCTTGCCTATGCATGGATGAGCACTTGGGATCAACCAGGGCTGTCACCACCTTGGTCCTAGTTTGGCCAGTGCAGCTTCCCAACCTCACTGCTTCCTCCCCATCGTCCTCAATGGTCGGTGGCCAGCATGTCTCCTAGCACCCAACTTCAGCCCCTCTGCTCCTTGTGATGACAGCACTGAAACCCTAGGGCCATAAAATGCCACATGCTTCCTGCTTGACTGCTGGATGCTCCGCTCTTTAGAAAGGCACAAACATAACTGCATTGTTAGTAAATGTGAGCATGAGGCAGCCAGCCTCCCGCCTCCCTTCCATGGTCCTCCTCAGGCTCCGTGTGCCCGGGATGCTCTGGGTGTTTGCCTGAATATCTTGTCCACTCCACAGTCCAGCCCAGGCTTCTCTGCCTTCCTAGAGTCTCCTGGTCAAAGGTGCTTGGATAGCCTCACCTGGGAGCCAGCGGCAGATACAGATGCAGGCTCCTAGAACCCCTGGGGAGGCTCTGCCTCTTACGGACCAGGGCGGCGAATGCACAGTGCCACTGAAGTCTAGGCCCTGCCCTGCTACTTGGCTGCATGGCACTACCTTCCTGACCTTTTAGGACTTTCTGTCACAGCTGCCCTCACTGTGAACCCTAGTGGATCTGAAGAACAGCAAAGGGTTGATACCACTATCACCCTCATCAGGTGTGGATGATGTCACAGCCTCGTGGTGCCCAGCAGGGAAGGGAGGGTAGCGCTGTCTCACTCACCCACTCACCCATTCATTTGTACACTTGGCCTGTGCCTCCTCCCTGCTCCAGGCTTGTGTCAGGGGCCATGGACACTGTGGATGGCCAGGTAGGGCTGCTGGCCGGGTTGCTCGGTTGGGCTCTGACAAGTGGGAGGGAAGCAGAGAGCCTGGCCTCCACCTTTTGGGATTTGCAAGTCCTGAGCCTGTGGATTTAAGGTTCATGACCCTTGCCCAGGCCCAAGCTGGGCTCCAGGAAGGCTGTGCTTCATCTTGAGCCCTGGCAGGGCCTCACTGTGCAGGCCTTGGAGTCTGTTTGTTTCCTAGTGGGCCCCAGGACACTCTGCATCGCAGATCCCAAGTTATTAGAAGACAGGACCTCAGGGATCAGGGACTGCACCTTCCAGAGGTTGGTCACACATGGCCTGGTACTGGCTGGGCTCCCTGCAGGCCAGAGAGCATGGGCAGAACCCCAGGCAGACTCCCCACTCTTTGGCGGGTTCCCAGGACAGGCTTCTAGGGAGAAGGGAGACTACAGACCAGGCTGCCCCAGTCCCCTCCTGGGCCTGATATGCTCAGTGACAGGAGGGTAGGGCACTCAGAGAGGAGCCCATGATCTAGGGCCTGCTGGACCCTTCCCCATGCTCAGAGTTTACCTGTGCTCGAAGTTTATCTGTGCCAGAGTCTACCTACACTTGGGGTCTCCCTGTGCTCAGGATCTACCTGTGTTGGAGTTTTATCTGTGTTGTAGTCAACCTGTGTTCAGGGTCTACCTATGCTGGAGTCTACCTGTGCTGGAGACTACCTGTGCTGGGATCTACTTGTGTTCAGGGTCTACCCGTGTTGGGGTCTACCTGTGTTCAGAGTCTACCTGTGCTGGGATCTGTCTGTGCTGTGGTCCACCTGTGCTCAGGGTTCACATGTACTGGCATCTGTGTTCAGGGATTACCTGTGCTGGCATCTGCCTGTGTTCAGGGTCTACCTGTGCTCGGGTCTACCTGCATCAGAATATACCTGTGCTCAGTATCTACCTGTGATTGGGTTTACTTGTGTCCAAAAGCAGTCTGGTTTAACTGCCACAGTCACCTTATGAAGTGGACATCATTTCTCACAATGTAAACAGGAGAGAATGCTCAGATGAGTGAGAGACTCCCAGTGATCCAGGTGTAGCACATGGGGCCAGGTGTCACCTGAGTGTCCTATCATCCCTGCTGGGTCTGAGGGCCCCCTGCTCTGCAGGAACACGTTACTGTCCCAAAACAATCCTCACTGCTCACACTCTTCAATATACAATGGGAAAGGGAGCACAGTGCTCTCTGCCTCACTCTCCTCTGTGAAACAGGATGTGAACCTAGAATCCCACCACTTGGAAACTGGACACACTTCATGGTAATTTGCTTTTTTGCTGATTTTGACTCAGTCTCTGCTCTTTTAGGGTAGATGAGACCCAGCACAGCCTGAGAATTTTCACAGACATGGAGGGGGCAGACACCATGCCCTGTTTCATAAAGGAGGCACCCCACTGTGCTAGGCTCTGGGGAGGCCTTGGAGGAGGGCAGTCCTTAAGGTAGGTGCAGCCAAGGGCCCAAGAGACGGAGGACTGGTGGCAGGACCTGGAACAGCCCTGGGGGCCAGGCTGGGAGGAACAGGACCCAGAACAGCCCAGCAGCTTGAACAAGGTCCTCAGAGCCAGGTCCCATAAGCCAGGCTGGACGAAGGGTCCGCGGCAGCTGATAATGAACCTGGGACCAGAGGGGCCTGTCCCAGGCTCAGAGCAGAGTTGGAGGAAGGGAGGAAAGGGCAAGGAAGGAGGAGGTAAAGAAGGAGATGGGGAGGGAGGGAGCAGGTGAGGAAGGAAGGAAAAAGAAAAAGAGAAAGGAAGAAGAAAAGAGGAATGAAGGAAGGAAAGAAACAGGAAAGGAGGGAGGGAGGAAGTCCATTTCCATCCTAGGCCCACCACTGCTACTCCTTATTTTCTGGCAATTCATGCTCCTGATATTCCTGTGATTCATGGGTGACCCATTTCTTAAGTAGAAAGTAAAGATGAGGCTAATCCTAGAGATTACTATATTTAGGTCGCTGGACACTGGATGGTGCTTGTTTATGGAAGATAAGATAAGAGGATTGTGGCCCCAGCAGCTTCCTTCCTGGTCGCCAGGTCTATTTTTCTCCAGGAAGGAGGGACAGTGTCTGACTCTGGGGAGACCATCCAGTGGGAGCTGAGGCTGCCTGGGGTCTGGGCAGGGACAAGGTCTCTCCCCTGCTCCTGCCTTCTGGGGTCCCCTTGCCAGGCACCCACTTGGGGTCTCCCCACGTCTCTCCTGGCCATTGCTCTTGTTCACACCCAGTGGAAGCCCCCAGCTCACCAGGGCCACCCCTGGCTTCCTGCATCAGCCCCGGACCTATGGTTGCATGGACACCCCTTCTTCTTCCCACCACCGATGACATACCGCAAGCCTGTTTCCATTCAAAATCTCTCTCCACTCCGTGCTCCACTCCCAGCCCTGCCCCTGGACCTGCTTCCCAAGTGTCTCCCACTCTGGCCCCCAGATTTGCACTCCTTCAGCATCTGGGGTGGTCTCCAATGCAGTGGAGCTTCCTCTGCCAGGATGGGAGCTTAGGGATCCCGGTCCTACCGACCCCCCGCCCCGCTGGGTGTCTGCACCCTCAGCTCTGACCCCTTCTTCCCCTTCAGAACCACCTTCTCAGTCACCCAGGGCAGGGTTTCCTGCCCAGCTCAGACAGTCCTGAGACCCCAGCGGGGTCATCTTTCTGGAAGCCTCGGCCCTCACATGCTTCCCTGGCACTTCCATAGGGACTGTGGAAGCCTCGGCTGTTCTCCAAATAAGGACTAGTAGGAATGGCCACATGAGAGTTTTACTGTCTCCTACCTCTAATCAGTGAAATTGACATCTCCGTGAAGAGGCGGAGATATACTAATAAGACGAGAAGACCCTACGGAGCTTCAATTTAACAACTCAATCAGACTTTAAACAACCCATAGGCCCAACACCCCACTGGACATGAGCTGTAAATTTCGGTTGGGGCGACCTCGGAGCATAAATAAACCTCCGAATGATTATACCCAAGACCCTACCAGTCTAAGCAAAAATCATTTATTGACCTAAACTTATTTGAGCAACGGAACAAGTTACCCTAGGGATAACAGCGCAATCCTATTACGGAGTCCATATCGACAATAGGGTTTACGACCTCGATGTTGGATCAGGAGATCCCAATGGTGCAACCGCTATTAACGGTTTGTTTGTTCAACGATTAAAATCCTACGTGAAACTGTACCCCACAAAACCATAATAAAAAATACTGATTAATGAAAAAAAAAAAATCCTACGTGATCTGAGTTCAGACCGGAGCAATCCAGGTCGGTTTCTATCTATTTACTATCTTTCCCAGTATGAAAGGACAAGAAAGATGGGACCACCAAAGTTTGAGCCTGAGTTTGTTTCAGAGAGAAATGGGCCACCAAAGTTTGAGCCTGAGTCTGTTTCAGAGTGACTCCCAGCCTTGGATCTAACCAACTCAGTGGCCGCATGATGTCAGTTCGAGCAGCCAGTAGCTCTGACTTGGGAGCAAGGTGAGAGTATCCCAGAGCTCACCTGGAGCTCCTGGAACTGACAGGCAGGCTGCCAGGGCCCAGTGCTGGGCGGGCGCCAGGAGCTTACTCCTCTGTACAGAGCGAGCTGTGCCCTGCCAGGGCCCCCTGGAGTGCCTGGCGATCTGAGCTGACTCACATACACCCAGGACAGGCGCAAGACGCGCAGACCCACCTCAGACACGTCCTTGACGTTCACCATCTTCTTGGTATGAGCCACGTGGCCCACAACTCCGATGTCCAGCGGAAAGACGATCTCAGAGTCGGGGGGCACCAGGCAGTCCTCCAGGATGCTGTCAGGCTGCACACTGAAGAGTCGTGTCGCCAGCTCGGCCACGCCGTTGCGCTGGCGGTACATGAAGAGGCTGCAGCGGTCGGCATGCAGGAGGGTGCAGAGGCGCCGCAGGATCTTGAAGACCACACGCTCCATGTTGACGTTCTCCTGCATGTCCTGCACCAGGTCGAGGAGGGCCGCACTCTCCTCCACCTGGCACACCTCCCGGAGGCTTTCACAGTCCAGCGGGCACCCGTCCTCGCAGGCCGCTGCCACATTTTCGGGGCTCAGCTTCTTCTCAAAGTACTGGTGGGCAAAGTCGGGGTTCTCATCGAGGAAGCTCCGCGCCTGCTCCTCGCTGAGGCTCATGGTGACCTGCTGCCTGACCCTGGAGACGCCGCTGCTCCAGGCGCACATGGGCTCCCAGAAAGCACTGTTGTCAGCAAAGTCTTTCTTAGCAACGATTAGGGAGCCCTGAGGTGAGTCAGCTGACTCACTCTGTGACAGGGGGGCCTGCCCTGTCACTTCCTCAGACCTGAGGCGTCCCACCTCCCTGGGAAAACCAGACCCCTTGGGATGGGGGCTGGGGCACCACTGCAGGGGGATACCTGGTTTCCTGTGGGACCAGCCTCGGGACCGAGCCCTGAGAGAGGCGATCCTGCAGAACCACCCCCCTCTCTGTTTGGGGAGTTGCCACAGGGTTCTTGATGGGCTGACAGGCAGATCCAGGTGCTCCTAGGTGCCTGGGGAGGTGGTGGTGAGGCACAGATCCTGCCTCTAGGAGACACAGCTCACTCCTGAGGAGGGAGAGGGAGGTGAGCCAGCCACCCACATCCTGAATGTCCAGAGCCCAGAGAGGGGACCCCAGATGTGGAGTGGACCCACATAGACCTTCCCCAGTGTTCTGAGTTATAAGTTGTCTAAATTAACCCCCTACCCTAGTGTCTCTCTCTTGGACCTGGACCTGCTGTGGTGATGTGCTCTGAGGCCACACAGCTGTTAGTGGCAGGAGAACTTGAACTGAGGAGGGTTCCTGGCTGCAAGGACAGACTTTGCTTTCTTCTGTCACCTGGGGACAAGACCCTCATCCCACCCACTCCCCACGAGATTCTCCTCGGCTCCCAGGCCAGCTCCCTTCAGGCTGATAGGGTCCAGGAAATACCTCGAGTGCTGGCTCAGCCAGGCAGGTAGCCCCATCCTGACTTCCTGGAAGCATAAACACATATTGCTGCTTCTTGGGCAGCTCTGTTTGTGTTGCCAGATCCTCTCCTTGCACTGTATCCACATCCACAGTGTGGGCACCACCACCTCCTACACAAGGGGACACTGGTGGATCGTACCTAGCAGCTGTGCCTCTGGGGCACAGAGTGGGCAGTGGGGATCACTGGGCTTTCCATGTGCCCAATTGGCAGCAGGTGCCTCTAGTGGAGGGCCTGGACCATCTGCCCTGGGGTCACACCAAGGCCAGCTCCTGGTCCTTGGGTGGGAAACGTATTCCAGCTGTGAGCAGCCAAGCACTGATTTGCAGGCTGGCACCTGCACTCTGGGCTCACCCTGGAGTTAGTGCCAGGGAATAGGGGCAACTGGCCCTGTCCTCAGAGATGTTAGAAGGATCTCCAGGTCCCTCTAGCCTAGGACCGGGAATCTTAAGTGAGGGAAATTACCTAAGATTTTTGTATCTTTTTCATTTTTGTCTCTGTCTATATTGTCATTGTACTTTTTACCAGGATGAAGATTTATGTGCGACTCTGACTTTTACTGCAATCAGCTGGTAACAGTGTGTGCATGAGTGTGCATATACATGTGTGTGCACAGAGTGCACATGTGTGCATGCAAGCACACATGTATGCGAATGCATGTAAGCATGCATAATGTGGGTGTGCATGGAGCTGTGTGTGTGTGGAAGCGTGCACGTGTGGGTGTGCACATGTGCATGCAGAACCTGGGACGCCTCTTGTGCTTGAAGTTTTCTCAGCACGTTTCCCGGCTCCAGGAAAGTGCGTGGTGCTGACTGGTGCCGCTGCAGCTGCCGGACCAGGACGCTGGTCTGACCGCGGCAGCTGCGTGTCCGCAATGGGCCCAGCTGGTACATGCCCTTGTGCTGTGACATCCCTGTCTCTGCTTAGTCATGAAACCACTTCCTTTCAGGGATCTGTTCAAGACCTCCCCTTTTTCCTAAAAATAGTGAGTTCTGACTGGGAACAGGAGTGGGATGCGATGAGACAGGTGCTGCGGTGGCCTCTTAAGTGCTGGGCTTGGGGCCAGGGTCACGGCCACCAGCTTCGCATTCACACCCGGGACAGCTTCCAGAGCTGCCAGCTTGTTGTCTCCCAGGTCTCATCACCCGGCTCGCACCTGGATGTGAGGACATGCCCATAGCATCCTTCTGGCTGCCAGGCCCAAGAGACTGGGGCCTGAGGAGACACTTCCTGCATCCTGAGTTTACTCCCAAGGACCATGCCCTGGCCCAGGCCCAGGCCCTTCCACTGCAGCTCCCCAGACACCAGTCTGAACCCCACCCTCCAGTTCCGCCTTGCCACTTGTGCGCCCTCCCTTCCAGGCGCAGTCCTTTGCCTCTGGTCTCCACAGTGTGTGCAGTCCAGCCCTTTCCTCCCTGCTGGTGCCTCCCTCTCTACAAGGCAATGAGGTTCGCCTGTGTGTGAAATAAGTGCCGCCCCCTTAAGTGTGGGCAGAACTGGGTGGGGTGGCCCTGGGGGGACCCTTGAGGAGTAGGTGGGGGTTGCAACGTGATCTCAGCTCTAAACACCACCTGCCCAGGGAGTGTGGAGTGACCGGGACTCTGCGTGCAGAGTGGGTGAAGGGAGTCACTGGGCTCCCCATGGAGAGTGAGTAATGGGGACCACTGGGCTCCGTGTGGAGAGTGGGTGTTCAGGGTGCTGGGCTTGGCTTTGGTGTGCAAGCAGGAGCCCGTGTCGGTGTCCCATGACCCCCCCCCCCATGAATGCGATGTCTGCTTCCATCTGCAGCACCTGTAGTCTTTGCTGTGACTTTCCCTGACCTGGAGCCCATGTGCCCACAGGTGTGGAGTCCCTGGGGCGGCAGGGTATCCACACCTCAGGGGAGCCCTGAGCCTATGACATAGGGTTTGTTTGTCAATGCTCAGCCCCCTTACTTGCAGTGTCCAAGGGCGGCTGCCTAATTACACACTCTGTCAGTCTATCCCTTCTCATTTTACTTCCCTAACACTTACTGATAATGCCTGGGGCCCCTGGTGAGGTTGGACATGACACAGTCAGAAAGAGACACCTGTGAGATCACCTGTGAGATGCCTGTGAGACACACCTGTGTGACACCTGTGAGGCACACCTGTGAGACACACCTGTGTGACACCTGTAAGGCACACCTGTGAGACACCTGTGAGGGACACCTTTGAGACACACATGTGTGATACCTGTGAGGCACACTTTTGAAATATACAAGAGCTGACAACTAAGTTTGCGAACTCCTCCTTGAAAAAAGGCTATATACCTCATTACTGAATATCACTACAGTCAGCTTTGGAGGACTCCCCTTGGGAAGCCATGCACCGATGCCAGCGCCTAGTCCACTTGTCAAAGCAATTTTGGAACTCTTTTTCTGGATTGGCCGTCAGAGCCATCATTGTATTACCATCATCGTATTACCCTTGATGTCCTGAATGTCATCAAATGTCTTCCTTTCATTATTTCCTTTATTTTGGGGTAAAGAAAAAAGTCACTGGGGGCCAGATCAGGTGAGTAGGGAAGGTGTTCCAGTACAGTTATTTGAACAGTGCTGCCATTGTAAGCAAACAGTGGCAAGTTTGTGAACTTGCCAGACCTCAACAAATAATGATGACAGCTCTGACAGCCGTTCCACAAAAAGAGTTCCAAAATTGCTTTGACAGGCAGACTAGGTGCTAGTGTCAGTGCATAGCTTCCCAAGGGAAGTACTTCAAAGGTGACTATAGTAGTATTCAGCAATGAGATAAGGTAGCACTTTTTCTAGGATCGTTCATGAACCTGATTGCCATACCTCATACCTGTGAGACATAACTGGGTGATATCTGTGAGGAACACCTGTGAGACCCCGGTGAGGCACACCTGTATGACACACTTGTATGATACTTGTGAGGTACACCTGTGAGACATATCTGGGTGACATCTGTGAAGGACATCTGTGAGACACCTGTGAGGCACACCTGTGCTCAAAGGCCGATTGAACTCACCCAGAGACTTTGCCACAGATGTACCTGAGGGATGTGTTTGGAGAATGGGGCTTGCTTCTTCACTAGGTTCCTGTTAATTCTACCTCATCATAATATGGGATTCTAAATGGGCAAGCACATCCTGGAAGCTGTCTAGAACAAGGACTGTATCATTAAATAGCAATTACATAAGAGAATCCTTATTCCTTGTACCAAACTGTGGAAAGGACGCAGTTATACAAGGAGCAGTATATCCTGAGAGGAAAACTGCCCAGTCATGAGGAAACAGGAGAGAAACTCAAGCTCACAACCAGGGATTGCATCAAATCTATGGTGTAGAGAAATGGTCAGCCCCACGAGGACCCGTGCTTTCATAGCCTGAGTTTCACTGGACGGAGGACAAGCGAGGATAGAACAGAGGAGGGACACCTCAGATACCTGGTGCTGGAATTCCACCTAGGACCTGGTGTCTGCGTGGTGAGAGTGGCAGGATCTATTTGGGCTCCTCGCTCTACTCACTGCCACTAACTGTCAGCCTCAGTGAGCCTCTGGGCTTCTCAGGTCTGTCTTTCTGGCTCTGTGTTCAGGCTAACAAGGACTATGCAGTTCATTTGTCGGCGAGAAGTGGCCCTGTCGAGTGTGCAGCACTTGATGAGGACAGTTGCTGTCAGCAAGCCACAGAGCACCACACAGTGCAACCTTGATAGTTACAGCTTGGGAAGAAGACATTGTCCAACTGAGGACAGAGTAAGTGCTATGTCTGGATGTGGGGCGTGTACCACTCCGTGTGTGCGTCTCCTCTGGGACAGCCCCAAGCCCCCCTGGCACGAGTGGAGGAACGAGGAGGAAACTGAACTGTGCTTCCATCCCTCTTCTGCTCATGTTTGGGCATGGCCAGGTGTCTGTCCACTTGCCCAGATGTCTCTGTGTCTGCAGGGAGATGCAGGATAGGAGGCAGAAAGTGTGCTCCTCTGGTAGTCTAGGAGTTCCTCAACCCACCCAGTTCATGTTGCCTCCCAGTGCAACTTGAGGCTTGAGACTGGGGCCACTGGCACCTAGTGGGGTGAGTCTTTCCCCAGTGGTGGCAGCACCACCTGCTCAGTGATGCCCACTCCTTTTTCATTAAGGGGCCACAACTCCTCTATGTCTCTCAGTGGGAATCTTCACTTTTTTTTTTTTCATTTTAGGCCTTGGAGGTACAATGTTGAAACTCTTAACAACCCCCCCCAATAAAA